ATCTTATTAGTGCAAGTTGTGGTTCTTCTCACACCTGTCTCCAGCTTCTCAGGACAGGAAGTGATTTGTGAGAAACTCCTTGCTAGAACAGCAGCGGCAAAGCAAAGGCAATCAATGCACAGGGGTACTTTAACACACACCTAAGTGTGAGAGAAGGCCCTTGCCTGCTCCCTATTCAATCCCTCCATCCGCAATTCCTGCACTGTAATCCTGCTGAGAATTCAGAAGTAATCACTGGAGCCAGAATGGAGACTGAGCTCAGCTATTCTCTCCATCCATGTCCTCAGTGCTTCTTCAGAGTGACCCATAAAGCACTTCAGCGAGTAAAGAATACAGAAAGTGGCAATGGAAGGCCAGCAAGCAAGACCCTTGACTCTTTCTGTTCTGGTAGCTCTCTCTGCTAACAGAAAATGAACCCACCACCTACACTCAAGCCTACAAGCCAAGAATATCCCTCCACAGCCTGTACACCCTTTCCTGTTTGGAACTTTTGACAGAGATAGCAAAAGAATAGTCATCTTCATTAAATGCCCCATTCCAGCTGCAGAAGAGCCTGTGCTGGTAGTCAGACTCCATATGACTTGTTATAAGGGATCCTGGATGACAGTGCAGTGGGCAGAGGAATCTGTTCCAGCAGGATCCTGACACTGCGAAGGGCTGCTCAGATGATATTTCTTGGGAAAATAGAGGGTTTTGTGAATCAGATTTCTGACGGCAGAAACATCATTTTTATCTATGGGAAAGAGAGAAAAACAGTTGTTCGGGATTCTCAACAGGCACTACGAAAGCCTCTTCTGCAAAACATACCTGAAACTCTAGTTCCCAGCACATCACCTGCCAGCAGCCCTTCCTCTCTTTCTTCCTGTACACCCTCCACTCTTTTGCACTCACCTACACCCAGCTGCTGCAGGAGATTTGCAAACTCTGGGTCACCCTCCAGGATTTTCAACAGGTTGGTGGACTCCATTCTCTCCAGCTGCACATCCCAGTAGATGTAGATCTTCTGGCTGAAGCTGACATAAACCAGGCAGGGACTGTTGCTTCCTCCTTTGCATGCATAGAGGCCTGCAGAAAGCAGAATGCGGAGATCTGACCACTTCCGAAAGGACAGTGAAAGCAAATAGGTAACGTCTCATGATGAGGTACCAAAGCCGTTAGCAGAAAACAGCAAGCACCTGAGCAGAGACCTGGGCTTGGGTATACAAAATCCCTTTGAGACAATCCAAGAAAGTGTCTCTAAACTGCAGGAAGCTTGGGGATTTGCAAGCTGCTTCTTGCAGGTCTGAAAGAGGGGACTGAGCAAAGCCGAGGCTCGGGCTGGTTCCATGGGGCTCCTTATCTCTACTTGAGAACAGCTTAGAAGTCTGCAAATTCAAAAAGCAGTGGGGAAGACGAGACTCCTGTAGTACTCCTGAAAAGGACAGGAAAAAAACCCCAAACCATCACAGAAAAACCTCAGCATCACCTCCTCTCACCCCTACTTTTCCCAGATGCCACCAGAGGAAAGACTAGCTGGGTCTTCTGCAGTACACACAGAGGGAAATTATTCTCCACGGCAGACAGACAAAGGATTCCAGGTCTCCCAGACAGGAGTAGCAGCTTTGAGGGAAAAATGCTGTGAGGGGTGGCTTTGCAGTCAGGCTCCCCACCTGCACAGAACGCACTGACATTCTCCTCTGCTTGAAACCTGGCAACAGTCCGATTGTGGTCAATGATGTATGTCTGACCATCCCACGCACAGGCAATCACCTCCTCATGCCCATTGCCCTGCAGGAACCAGAAGATTGCATATTAGCCAGACATCACCTATTCCCAGGGACAGTCAAGAATCTTTCTTGCTTGTTCAGACAGAACACTAATGTCTGAACAAAATGTGACTTTTGGACATCATGTCCAGAGATTTTGCAGTCTGAGATCATCTCTCTTCTCAATAGCAATCATAAGAGCAAATCATAAGAGTTTGTAGACAATCAGGGTATTAGGAGTGTGCAAAACCATTCAACTTCGCAATAAGATAAAAGAGTAGTTCAGGAAATAAATTTATGAATGGATCAGTGCAAACTAGGCTCAGTAGGTCTAACTGGCAAGCACAGCTCAACCTCTGACAGGTGGACAGACTGACATGAGTGCAGAATATACTGCCAGAGTCAAAGCACTCTATGTCATCCTGAGATAATCTCAGTCTTTTTCAGCTGAGTCACACTCACTCTGCCCTTCCTAAATCCATATATACAAAGCCATGTTAAGTTTTTGTCTTCATCCCTCCCAGCCCTATTCAGATACTCACTGTAACATCCAGCTTTTCCAGAGCAAACAGCTGGTGATCAACCTGAACAGACCAGAGCAGCTTGTCTGCTCCCTCCATGAGTTTCAATGTCCCTGAAGGAAGAAAAAAAAATACTGTCTTGAAGACATTAAAAGGGAGCAATATGTTTGCTTATGCTGGGCCCTACACACTCCTTCAACACTCAGGGTTGCTGAGAGTTGGCTGCTAACAGCATAGGCATGGTCTCTTGGCTGCTGAATCCATACTGGACACTTAACCCCACTTACCATTTTTCTATTATCCAGATATACTGTGACAGTCGTGGGCAGGGGGGACCAGCCATGAGAGTGGAACATAAACATGAGTCTGTCTTCATAGAGGCCTCAATGCCTTCATAAAAAATATGTCAGCAGAAGGAGTCTTTGGGTCAAATTCTCTTGCCTGACCCAGGATGGGCTTCTGGAGCCCTGTTTCACCTTTCAAAAATCAAAAGCACTGAGCCCCTGGTTCCCTGCTTTGAATTAGTCAGGCCTTGTCCAGCCCACAGGCCTTTCTTCCAGGACAGTGGTAGGACTTACCATCCAGAGTACAGAGGGCAAAGAGACCTGAGCCACTATTCTCACTGGAGCCACCTGTAAGTGCAAAAGAAAATTGCTGGAGTTGATGCCATTTTATAAGTGTTGTCCCCTCTTTCTCCTGAAAACAATAAAAAAGATGCAGAACAAGCTGATCCATCCTGCCCTGCCTTCTTTTTTTTGCCCAGTTGTGTGCAGGACAGCACTGACAAATGTGACTAGTTAAATCTCAAGAGGAGAGTCCCCTGACCACTGGGCTGCTTTGGCCCCTCAGTAAACCTCTGCCTAGCTACCAGTCAGCAAAGACATGCAAGGTCAAGTTTTAAAAGTGATATCACACTTGGAGAGAGAGAGGACTGGAGCTGTGTTCAGCTAAAGCTGCATTTAATCCTCCCAGTGACAACGTAGGAGAGACACTGGCTCCCTGAGGTCTGCAGGAACCCAGGAAACCTGGCAGTCGGGGACAAGCTAACAGAGCTGAAAGCAAATAGGCAGTTTCCCCAGAATAACTTAAACGGAAGCCTACCTCCACTGCCCACAGACAGCTCCAAGCTACAGACCCCTGCACACTCCTGAGTTACAAACTGCCCTGTTTCCACAGATCAGCTTAAAGCAAAGTCAGCTGGTTGAGTGCTCAATTGCCTCTTGTTGCTCATTCACTCAGAAAGGCTCTAATCCAAAAGATCTGCAGTGTCTCCCTCACAAACTGGTCAGCATTGCACTCCTCAGCTGTTTCCTTACTGATGGTCCAGCATCAGTGGGCTTTTTTACAACCTTCTCTTCATCCCTTTTACTGTGTGCCTTCATTTTTTCATAGACATCTCTCATAAGATGCAAGGCTTCACATGCAGTGAAATAATTGATTTCACGCTTTGTTGACCATGTTGCTCACAGCAGCATCAGAGATGCTGAAAACATGACAAGCTTAGGAATCAGGGAGGAAAGGTACTCTGAGGAAGGGGAAGGGGGTGGGGTTTAGTGGACTGCTCTTCTCCTCAAGCTCTAATTACCTTGGACAACCTAAATAATTCTCAGCACTGCAGGGGGCAATACTTGCGCAGAAAACAAGAGAAAGTGATCTCCACTTGGAATTTTCTGCTTGCACACACACTCCAAGGGGGAGTCAAAGCTGCCTGCTCTCCATAGGTATCAAGAGAAGGTTTAGCAAGTGCACCAGGCACAGGTCAGAGCACAAAGCAGTTACACAAGGGAAGCAGTGGCAGTGTGTAAGAAAAGTCTTAAAGAAAAGACACAACAGCAGTGTGTCAGGGCTGAGAGAAGCCAGCAACTGTGGAGAGTTTAGATACAACTGCTGAACAGAACACAGTGGAAGGGGACAGAAGACAATAATATGGAATATGGAAGCAGCTCTGGAGATTGGGACTGCATAGGAGAAGGAGGAGCAGCATGTAGCTGCCAGGTATCGAGATTAAAATGCTAAAAAGTAGTAACAGATGAGGCTGTGGGAAGGAAGAGATGCATCTTGGGAATAAGAAGAAGGCATAAGCTGCAGTCATGCAAAAGCAAAGATCAAGGACATATGCAGGAGCACGGCATGGCAGCCATTCAGACGGACTAAATGCAGGTCAGCAGAGGCTGCAGAGAAACTGTTGTGCTAGGCAAAGAATAAGCACTACCTAGGAAAGGACAAAGGCTATAAAAAGCTCACACGCAAAAATCCAACTGTCTTTCTTTGGGAGCCAGCTAAGATAAGTCAAGATTCCTCTGCTCTTGCAGCTGCTTCCCACGGTTATTTTTCAACCACGGGAAATCCAATTTCTTCTTGGACTGATGTACTGAAAAACTGCCCCCTGAAAATCAGGGGCAACTGTTGGGCCACAGACCCCAAGCTGATAATTTCTCACCTCGGGCAATGCTACCAATTAGATGAGTGGAGACATTCTTGTTGTGAATCCGTCCAGATGTTTGGTGTAGAATAACATCTCGAACAGGGGCCTCACTAGGGAAAAGAGAAAGACATCAGGGACAGGTTGAGGAACCACGACTGAGTCTGTGCCACAACAATCTCAAGAGCAGTGTACTCCAAAGCTCCACAAATCCAGACACTGACAGAGTTCCAGAAGAGGTTAGCCCTTTAATGGTAAAGGCTAAGTAAAAGGATATGTGCCACCCCAGGTACAAAAGGAACTCACAACTGTTTAAAAATCCAAAATAAGAATGATTTTATGCATCAAAAAAATATGGAAAGAGCTCAAAACCAAAAAACACTAAGACATGTATTCCAACGAAGGAGGAAAAAAAGACAATTTTTATTATTACTCACATAAACCTGGCTGCTTTTCACTCAAGAAGCATCTGCCCAGGGTTCAATAAGTTTGTGAGTGACCACATCTGGGCCTGGCTTCTGGCTAGGAGGGTACCATTCCACTGAGGTCTTTAAGACATCAAGACTTGCCTAGCTCCCCTCCTGCTGCAGTGTTTTGTCTCTGCCTTCAAGTCTTACAGAATACTACAGAAGCACCCCAATTCCCCACAAGGATTCTTTCAGCACCAAGACAATAACAAACACCTCATTACCATTCTGATTGCTCTGTTGTGATTTATAGCACTGGCTGTCAGGGGTCTCATTAGGACAGCCTCTAATTGCCTCACCTGGAAAAAAACCCAAGCAAATGAAGCTAAAATTTCATTCTGGGCTTCATATTAATTTGGCTTGGCCCAGCCTTTCAGTTGTTACCCTTCCCACCATTAGATAGGTCACTGGATTGCATACTACCCTTTTTCTGGAGATCAAGATTACTCATTTCCCTGACTTAGCTCCCAGTAACCCTCTCCTCAGTGATCTCGTTTTGTCACTCTCCTTGCCCAACCCAAAAGAGTGGAATACAACAGAAGCAGTAGTACTCATTTTTGTGACATACACGAAGAGTGTTCATGGAAGCTCTGGTGCAGGTGGGCTTAAGTGACGAGCTGCCAGCAGTACAGCAGGACACTGAAGCAAGGACAGTGACAGCGCTCCCCGCCTCACAACAGCTGCGTGGTGGCACCCCCTTGTGACGGGCCTTCACAGCAGCATTTCCTCATGTTCCCTGCAGAAACGCCCCTCACCTGCTTGAAGCAGAGCCGTCCCTTCCCGCAGATGTGTCCCGGTGCTCCATGTCCCAGGTGCACAGCAGGATGGCGTAGCCGCAGCCTGGCTGCGACACCATCAGCTCCGGAGAGCCATCAGGGCCCAGGTTCACAGAGAGGCTGTCCACCTACACTGGCAGAGACAAAACACGGCCAGAGTATTTTTGAGAACTTTAAACACCTCTGAAAAGTTTACAGTGCTCCTTGAACCTAAATCTGGATATGGTAAATCTTCTGACACAGCTGACCAGGAGCTGAACAAATTCAGCTAGAAGCAAAATGTCCAAGTTCAGTAAAAGGCTGTTTCCCTACCAAAAACCACTTGTAGAACAACACTAGCACTTTCCACTAATGCTCTCTGGTTGGGCAACAGCAACTCTTTCCTAGACCAACCCAGCAGCTATTCCACATGGACAACCATTGGGCAAATCTCCTTTCAAGCCATCAATGTGACAATTGTTTCGTTCATACAACTGAGATTTCATACTTCTTCCCTTGGAAGAGCCACCTCTTGAAGACTGTATGACAAGTACTGCTCTGAACATCCTTTTTTCTTACCTGACCTTCTAGCAGCCATTTCTTCAACAGGAGCAGCTGCCCAGAGATGTGGTCTGAATTCTCTGACGAGTCCTCCCAGCGAAAGGCACGCACCACCCTGTCAGTGTAACCCACCACCAACTCACACTTCCCATCTCCATCTGCAGGGAAAAGAAGAGGATAGATGGACTCTGTCAGGCTTTCATAGCCCCAAGAGCCCCAGTATTCAGAAACCACTGTGCTGGTTTCTATAGGTAGCATCCCTGAGGATCCCAATCCTGTAATGAAAACTCGCACTTCAGAAAAATTCCTGAAGTTCTTGCCTCTTTTCTCCATGACTTGGCTGTGGTTTTCTAGAGTTATCTTTTTTCAGCAAGATAGTAATTTCCTTCTGCAACTCCCCCACAGTTTTTCCCCCCTCCTGCCCCTCTCCCCCTCACCCTGCACTCCCACACCAGCTTTGTGGCTTACCAATGTCATTGATCAGCATGACCTTGGTGTTGGCAGGAATGTGCTGCCTGAACACTGGGTTCTGCTCTTCTGCTGCTGCCAACTCATGGTGGCCTGAAGCATCTGGGTGTTTTGGAGAAGTCAGGTCAAAAAGATGAAACCAGCCTTCTGCACTCACCGCCACCACGAAATTCTACAAGGAAAGAAAAAAACTTTTTGATTCTTTCTCTTTTAGAAACTGCAGAAGCTGTCTCACAGCATGGCAAGGGAAGATATAAGGGTAAATCCATCAAGATCAATGACTGCTACAGAAGGAACAGGAGGTTTTTGGCCAGCATACAAACTACTCAGGTACTGGCAAGGTCAAAACTTCCTGTTCATCTTTGTCAGACTGTGCTATCAAGCTGATGTGTGCATGCAATCCTCAAACAATGTGTGGCTTTCTCAATGCTCACGTCAGCTCTGCTCCCCACTAGGGCAAACAGAGCAACAGTATTTTGGGCATGGTGCCTAAACTGGGACCTTCAGACTCATTGGTCCTGACTTAACCCCCAGAAACAGCAATCCAACAAAAGAAGTCATATTAGAGCCAGTGGAATTTGCTTGGGAGTCCAGACTATTCTGTATTTCAGTCTTGTTTAGATGACCTTAAATGCACACAGCCAAGTAGCAGAAGGGCCATGGCCCACAGCAGGCATCAGCACAAGCAGACCAAAAGCCACTGAGCAATAGGAGCAACCCTCAAACCACCAAAGCCTTGTGGTGCTCACACAGAGGCACATGGAAATCAGTAGTGCTCTCTGAATATAGGATTTCCTTGCTCACTAAAACCTGTACATGACTCACAGAAAGATACCAATTACATGTGAACAGAAGAACAGTTTAAAAACAGTAGTGCTAAAACTCTTTGAACGAGGGCAGATCCTGGTGCGAAAGCACCAGCAATCTGTCTTCCTCTACACTCAGTACATGACATAACCCTGATCTCCTAAGCACCTCCCACACGCCCTACAGAGACAGCTGGGAAGAGTTTGGTTCCTCTCACCTTTCCTTTATTGCATACATCGCCCACACCAACACACGTGAGCTGCAAAAGAAAAGAAGGCCATACATAAGAGAAGGTAACTAAAACCAGCACTTTGGGCTAAGCCTCTGCCCTACCCCTCCTCTCTCATAAAGCATCTCTTGAACTCTAAACAGCCTTTTGAAGGACAAGAAGAGCAGAGTCAGGAACAGAAACACATCTGTCACACAACTGGTCAGAGCCCTGGGTCAAAATCCACAGCATATAGAGCAGGGTCAAGGTGGGACAGAAGTCCAGTTCCTGTGTTTATTCAGCTCGTTAACTTCCAGCCCATGAGGCCAGCTGTGGGCAAAAGCAGGGTCTTGCACAACTACATGAAAGGCATCAGATCCAGTTCAGGCCCTCCATTCCCCTCTGCCCTATATATTCCTAGGCTATGGACAAGGATAGCTGGCTGCACATACACCAAAAGGCCCAACCATTTAGAAATTTTGTTGAGAACTGACCATTCCTTGGCAAGATCGCACAGCCCAGGGTTTGCTGTCATCATTCTTGTAAACATAGAGTTTTCCATTGGTGTCTCCCACCACTAGTTCATTCAGCTGTACAAGAGAACTGGGTTATTAGGAAGAAGTCCACAATTACAGTAACAATATTCCCATACAACAATCAGAACTCACATCTGAAAATCACTCAGTGGGAAGAAGCAGCAAAACAAAACAAGAGTTAAAGGGACAGTCTTGAATCAACAGGGAAAGTCTGGGAAAGTATAAAAGCTCTAGTTTTACTCTTGCAGATAGAAGAGATAGAGTGTCTCAGAGCAATATCTCATTACCTACTGCTTCTCTACACACTGTTTCAGCATTGTGACATTGACCATTTTAACATCCTGCTCTGCATCATCACCCCACCTTCCATCCTCCAACCTAGATTGACTTAAATTATCCGAGGAAGATGATGACAATGAGGAAAATGTAACCATCGAGAAAGAGGCTGCAAGAACACTAAACATAAGATTTACACTCTATGTTTAATCTCACTGATGAAGGGGCAAAGTTCTTTCAGAATGGTGATTATTTCTTCAAAGATGACTGCTAAAAATCACCAACCATCATTGCTGATGAACCCACTCCCACTATCCCATCTCCTGCATCATGCCTCTGTGTATTAAAATTGAGTGCATCTTACCCTGCACACCTTACCCTATATAACATAACTTCTTGTGGGAAAATTTGTTTTAATTATCTACCTCATTGCTAGCCATGGCACTTTTCAGCATAAGGCCGTAATAAAATTCGACCATTGAGGAGAAGAAACAATTTACATATAGCTGGTTAAGCTAATCTCTTCCTAATTACAGACAAATCAGCCACATCAAAACTAACCATTTGTGGTGGCTGACAGCAACATTCCCAATGCACATCCATCCCTCATACAGTTTAAGATCAGACACTGAGACTTGGCTCTGCCCTGTTTGTGATCTGCTGTGCCCCAGCTGTTTCCCCACACCCCCACATCCCCACCACCGCGACAGCAGAGTGCCTCTCCTCGGGACCAAAAGTCAACCTCCCCTCTGGATAGACACCATCCAGGCCCCACGCCAGGGGTGACCAGCACGTCTGACGGCGATGCGAGCCCCGACCAGCCGCAGCCCAGAACCACGGAAACATTCCCTTTGCAAGGGAACTCCAGCGGGCGTTTGGACTCAAACCCTGCATCTCTGACACTGCTCAAGCTCCCTGTGTCCCTAAGCGCGGAAGCCCCGCCAGCCCCCCGGGGCCGCACCAGCCCCCTCGATCCTTCCCCTCAGCCCCGTTTTGGCTTCCTGGGGCCGCTGCCCCTTGTCCCGCCTGCGCCATGCGGGAGCGCGGCCCGCGGGCCCGCCCGGGGCGCTGCCCAGCCGGGTTCCCTCGCCCCGCAAGCGCCGCGCGGCCCGAGCCCGGCCCCGCGCTCCGGACCGTGTCGTTGTCGGCGTCCCCCAGGCAGATGGCGTGCGGGAAGAGGCTGCCCGCGAAGTCCAGCGCCACGCACTGCACGTAGCTGACGGAGCGCATCCCGCCGCCCGCGGGACCCCGCGCCGGGCCCGCCGCACCCGCAGGCACCGAGGGAGTCGGGAAGCGCAGGCGCGGGAGGGAATCACGGGAGCGCGGGGCGGAGCTCCCGGCAAAGACCCCTTGTTTCCTCTTCCAGAGACAACAGTGAGCCGGGACGCTTCTGTTACTCCAAAAATACCGCACAGTTATTACAGGAACACCGCACAGGATGAAGGGTTTATAAACCGAGAGAGACAGATGCGTGTGGTTTTACAAAGTCAGTATCGTAATTGTTTATTTTAAGCATTTTTTTTTCTATAAGGACATACATAACGAATAGTTTATATCTGAAGTTTACATGCATGACCTCACTGATAAACACTAGTATGCCACCTTCTGCTGGCAACTAGACCCATTTGTAACGACAGCACGGAACATCCTTTCAGCTGCCTGAGTAAAGCATGTTTAGTGTCCTTAGTAGGTTACATTCTTAAACATTTCATAATTTGTTATGTAGTAACAATGAGGGCAAAGTAGTACTTTCAAGACTGCTCACACTTAACATATCCACCACTGACTCTAGAATGTTTTAGATGTGCTACAGAAATCATCTGACTTTTTGCTTTCAGAAACACGTAGAACTGTCGTGCCTGTGGGATATTTTTGAAAACTGCTATTCAACAACTTATCATTAGGACTTGGTGCTATGCTTATTTTAACAGCAGCAACAGTTTCTGCCAGAGGCTGTTATTTCCAGTAATAATTACCAACAAATCAAGGTATTTACCTGCTGGAGAAAAAGTACTCTTGCTTGGCATTCCTGCCCCCTTTCACGCTTTTCCATGTCTATTAAGCCCTTGTTGTAACTCCAGTCGACACAAACTGTGTTGTTTCCCACAAGAGGCAATAATCCTTTGGTACAAGTTTTTCCACATATACATGGCTCTTGCTATCAAGTTAGAACTCATGAAAAACACCTGTATTACCTGGCAGCTCTAAGATTTTATTAGGCAAATCAAATCAGCATTTCCTTAAACATGATGATCTACCAAACACTCTATCCTGCCTCTCTTCTCCTATCCCACCCCCACACCACTGAAGCATAGGGCACTGCTACACTGTGTACACTGTGCAGAGCAGTGCAGCTCACAGCTCCCTAAGCCAGACAGCCCAGCAGCAGGTGGTGAATTTATTATCTCGGGCCCAGTACAATGTGTCAAGCAGCTCTTACCATTTTGGTGACAGTCCAGTTCTACAGCTGCAGTGCCCGAGCTTTCCTGGCACTGCTGCGGGGCAGGTACTGGCAACCCCCCAGCCCCAAAGAACCCCATAAGTAAGCACTTATCCAGTATTTCTGTCTCAGGAAAGGAGACTGGGAATTCAAACTAAGATTTCTAACATAATTCATGTTAAAACAGAGATACTCTCTGCAATATATACACAAATCCAGCCCATTGCATGCCATGCAAATCTTTCTCACCATAAAAAACCCCAAACAAACAAACACTTTTTTTCATCTGAGAAGAACAGATTATCTACCTTCCTTCTGCAGAGCAGGCAAAAAGTGCCCCTGCAGCTAGAATGGTCTCAAAACAGGACACTGGAGATGCTGAGTTTAACACTACACGACAGGATAAACAGAACAGCTGAGTTTGAGTACTGTGTTCCATGCCTGCAGACAAACAAAAAACCCACCCCAGCAAAAAGCCCCCACAAAAACCAAAAGCACACCCAGCCCCAAACAAGACACACAAACTGCAGAAAGAAGCAGAATACCAAGTAATAGCTTTCTTGTGACATGGGGATAAGCAGACATTAGAATCACTCAGGAGTTTGTAGTTCATTAGGATTTAGAAGTATTTGTAATATGTAAACCATTATCACTTACTTTCTCTTCAAAGCCAGTCACTTTTAGGTAAAAATATTGTGGTTTTTTTCCTCTGGTCCAGTTCCACAACATGGGGGGCAAAGAGGAAGGTAGCAAAATGAACAGATAATAAGCTCTATACATAGGTTACAGACCTGCTTTTTGAAGTTTTCACCAACATATTTTTTCCTCTTGCAAATATATGTGTAAATATTTTACCAAATATTGGGGGAATTTTCTATGGTAATGAACAAACAACACAGAAAAATAATCAAGACACTGTGGTTATGTGGATTAAAAAAACACTGAATGACCAAAGGACAGTAAATTCTCTCAGTTCTGTGCAAATTCCAATAAAAACCCACGAAAAGTTCAGTTTTCTTGAGTTTAATTGGAGCTTTATTACTTAAGCTGTGACTTCAGTCTTCACCTTCAGCAATTTGCAAAGAGGAGGCATACAAGAAAGGTTACAATATTTAATAGAAGGGACTCCCTACTGAACATGGGGAAAGAGGGCAACCCTAGGGCGGAACTGGGAGTGCCAATTTGTTCTGAAGTCTCATGTGAGGACTCCTGGAAAAAGCTGATTACTCGAGAGAAGGAAATAAATGTAGAAAGCACAACCTGGGATTCAAGTAAGCTGGAACCAGAAAGAAACAAAGACCAATGACAAAATGGGAACTACCGACCTGTCAGCCTCAGCTCTGTGCCTGGGAAGATCATGAAACAGATCCTCCTAGATGCTATGCTAAGGCACATGGAAAATGGGGGTGATTCAAGACAGCCAGCACAGCTTCACCAAGGACCAGTCCTGCCTGATAAACCTAGTGGCCTTCTGTGAGGGAGTGACTACATCAGTGGACAAAGGAAGGGCTACAGATGGGATTTATCTGGACTTCTGTAAAGCCGTTAACAGAGTCTGTCACATTATCCTTCTCTCTAAATTGGAGATGAATTCAGTGGGTGGGACTGTTAGATGGATAAGAAATTGGTTGGATGGTCACATCCAGAGGGTAGTGGTCAATGGCTCAGAGTCCTGATGGACATCAGTGACAAGTTGTGTCTCTTAGGGGTCCATATTGGGACCAGTGTTATTTAATATCTTCATAAATGACATAGATGAAGAGTTTGAGTACACCCTCAGCAAATCTGCAGATGACACTAAGCTGAATGATGCACTTGACACACCTGAAGGATGGGATGCCATCCAGAAGGACCTGGACAAGCTCGCAAAGTGGGCCCATGGGAATCTCACAAGGTTTAACAAGGCCAAGTACAAGTTGCTGCACATGGGTTGAAGCAAGCCCTGATACCAATATAGGCTGGGCATGAACAGATCCAAGAGCAGCCCTGCTGGGAAGGACTTGGGAGTGCTGGTGGATGAGAAGCTGGATATGACCTGGCAGTGTGCACTTGCAGCCCAGAAAGCCAATTGTATCCTGGGCTGCATCAAAAGCAGCGTGGGCAGCAGGTTGAGGGAGGTGATTCTGCCCCTCTGCTGTGCTCTGGTGAGACCCCACCTGGAGCACTGCATCCACCTCTGGGGTCCTCAGCAAAGGAAGGATATCAACCCATTGGAATGAGTCCAGAGGAGGCTATCAATTAGAGGGATGGAGCACCTCTCCTTATGAGAAAAAGCTGAGAGAACTGGGATTGTTCAGCTTGGAAAAGAGAAGGCTTCAGAATGACCAAATTGTGGCCTTCCAGTACCTAAAGGGAGCCTACAAGAAACATGGAGAAAGACTATTTACAAGGGCAAGTAGCGACAACGCAAGGGAAAATGGCTTCAAACTGAAAGAGGGTAGGTTTAGATTAGATATTAGGAAGAAATTCTTTACTGTGAGGGTGGTGAGGCACTGGAACAGGTTGCCCAGAGACACTGTGGATGACCCATTCCTGGAAGTGTTCAAGGCCAGGCTGGATGGAGCTCTGAGCAACCTGGTCTAGTGGAAGGTGTCCCTGCCTTCGGCAGGGGAGTTGAAACTAGATGATCTTTGAGGTCCCTCCCAACTCAAGCCATTCTATGATTCTATGAAAATGCAAATCAACCAAGCAGAGTAAATCCAGACAGAACCCAAACAGTAACAGAGGCTGAATGAATAAATAAAGTCACTAGGATTAAACTGGATTTATGCTGCCATTCAGCTTCTTGAACAGCCACATAAAGCTGTAACTGACTGTGGCATGGTGGCTTCAGCCTCTGCTCCCTTGAAGCCACTATCCAACCAGGTAGAAAAATAAAGGTCTAATTCACTGGAAATTCTTTCATTTACAAAACTAATGGAATAGGGTTTGTTTTTATGCTTCTGCTTCTGATTTATCTTCAACTCCATTCTGCTCATCTTTCATTTCTGCATCTTCAGTGTGGCTGGTCTGAAGAGTAGCAGCTGACTAAAGGGGAGAAACAAAGAAAATATATTAATATAATTACAAAACTGCTAGCACAAACACTGTTTGATTCTCATCACTAAGAAACCTAGTCTCCCCTACAAGACTGAATTCATATATAGGAGCTTCAGCCAAGAGAAATTAAAAGTTTCTTTTTCATTTTTCATGCAACTAAGAAACCAGATGCTGTTTAGAAGAGGCTGAGATATAATATTGATATTAGGTGGTTATGATTCATAATGCCTGCACACGCTTGACATACAACACTTTCTTAGAAAAGTCTTAACTAAAATTCATTTACAAAGCTTCTGCACAGAACTGCTTTTGTCCTGCTTCAATATCAATTAATTTTTAGCCTACCCCCACCCCCCCAGTCTGTATGAGGTACACTTGGGCTCAGCATGTAAAGAACTATCTTCGTTAGACAACTTCGTTTCATGAAGAGTGACTTCAACTCAACAACAGTGATTTGGATGTCATCTGTAAGAGCTTAGTTGGAAGAAAATATGATCTGACAAGGTGGCTGCTCTAAAGCCCTCTCCTTGCTGCATCTTCCAGTCCATATAAAGGTAGAAGGCAGAGAGCCATGTAGCAGGGGTCCAAGGTTAGGTTTTTCAATAGGACATAACCAGCACATCCTAGCCTTGCAATAATTTTCAAACACAGTAAAGGGAGGTAAAAATGTCTTGGTCTTTTTATCTCAAAAACTAGTGCAATGAAACTGCTATTCCACCTGCCAGCCTATCACCTTGAACCATCTGTTTTATTATGATGTTGGCAGACAAAACCAAGCAAAGTCTTAAGCATGCAATGCTGGGAGAGGTGAATAGGAGGGGAAAAAGAGGCACAATCCTTTAATGTTACATCAACTTGGCTGCAACAAGAAACCAGTTAAAAGAACATCCAGGCATCAAAGTTCAACCTTTCATCCTTAGAAGCATTCTGTAAAGCACACAAGAACCAAGTCTTCTCTCCACAGAAAACCTGTTAGCTAGCAATCCTGGGCTTAAAATAACGTGACAAACGTCCTGACCTTTAAAAGTCCACACTTTACATATGTGAACTATTTGAATTCGTGAAAGGAACTACTGATGCAAGAGTGGCTGGTGAATTCAACAGAGTGTAAGACATGCAGCGTCAGGAATCTCAGAACTATGGTCCAAGCTACCCTCTTAGCAAGTCGAAGATATTTGATAAACAAACCGACTTCCTCAGAACCCTGATGTTCCACTACCACCACTAATGGAGAAACTGTTGGATCTAGAGTAAAGCAAAATTATAAATGCATTAACAGGAAAACAAGTTTTTCATGCAAGAAAACGACCTCAAGACTGACCTAGAGAGTAAGCGTCCTTTACAGTCTACAGTTCCAGCAATCCCATTTCATATAAAATCATATCCATTTAAGGTAGGCCAGATGGCTTGGAGACAAAAAAACAATGCACATTCCCAAGATCAACTTACTTGTTGAGAAGAATTCACCAGGCCAATGGTATCCTGCCTTGTATCAGAAACAGTGTGGCCAGCAGGACCTGAGCAGTGATTGTCCACCTGTACTGGGCACTGCTGAGGCCACACCTCAAGTACTGTGTCCAGTTTTGGGCCCCTCATTTCAAGAAAGACATTCAGGTGCTGAAGCAAGTCCACAGAAGGGCAACAGAGCTGGGGAAGTGTCTGGAACACAAGTCTGATGAGGAGCAGCTGAGGGAACTGCAGGTGTATAGCCTGGAGAAAAGGAGGCTCTCTACAACTACCTGAAAGGAGGGTGTAGCAAGGTGTAGGTCAGCCTCTTCTCCCAGGCTATGAGCAACAGGACAAGATGAAATGGCCCCAAATTGTGCCAGGGAAGGCTCAGATTGGATATCAAGAAAAATTCCTTCACAGAAAGCCCAGGGCAGTGCTTGAGTCACCATCCCTGGAGGTATTTAGGTGTAGATGTGACTCTTACAGACGTGGGTTAGTGGTGGACTTGGCAGTGTTAGGTTGTTGTTTGAGATCTTTCATTTACAGTCAGTAGGATTCCAACATAAAGGATTTTATGGCTTTAGGCTGATTCAACCCAAGCAGATAGGAAAACTGGAACTAAGTGCTATGTCTTTCCAGTATCCCAAACAGCCTGCAACGCAAAGATTGTGAGACTGCCTTTTGCCAAGAATATTACGCTTGCTTCAGCAACCCACTCTTCCTCTCTCAACAGCAGATCTTGCTGTGTCCCACACCTAGAGGAGGAAGCAAGATTCCCAGCAGCTGTGCTAGCTGAAAGGAACCTTCACAACAGAGTCTGACAGCTGGCAATTAAACCCTGCCATTTCAAAAGTGAAGATGCCTAACAGTGAAATAATTCTAGTTTAGTTGCTGTATCTTTACCTTCCTGAGATTTTTTCATTAAAGCCTACGAAAACTAAGATATGTGTGGCTTTACATCACTATATCTAGAAATACAAAATAGTTCCTTCCAAGCTCCAATAAGCAAGGACTGTTGACACCACGCTGCCTTAGCCAGAAAAAACAACAAAAAAAAAAGAGATGGTTGTGAAGTGCTTCATGTAGGAAATTGTCAGCTGAGTTTGAGATGACTGAACTGTCAGGATACACTCATCTGAGGACACCAGGCCTCTGGAAAGACTCAGTGACACAGTTAACCACAGGTAATTAACATACCAACATCTAACAATTTTTTATATTCTCCATGCGTATTCTGGAAAGGTAGACACAAAGATCTGAGAAAATAACCTCACAAGATGCAAGCTTCTGCACTCCCCAATGTTACTGAGGCAATTTGAGTATGATGTAAATCCCAGATTTATCTTAGAAGTTACAGATCTACCTAGTCCTTCCGCACCATCAGATCTAAGGAAAAGAAACAACATTGTCTTAGGATATGTGATTTTCACTAGCAACTTGGAATGTTTCTTACTAGCTGATACAACCGTGTTATAACCCTGTATCCACATACTGCCATTATTAACTGAACTAGTATTTACTGAAGTTCTAGTGAATGCTTATTATGAAAACCATCCATTTGTAGAATAATCAATCTACGACATTTGAAATGGAGACCATCAACCACTTCTTAATGTCTCCATGAGAAGCAAGATGGTGCTCAGCACCATCTGTATGGCAGACATGAGGTCTCACTAGATAGGCCACCCAGGCACCAGAACAGCCTGTTCTTTAGAACAACTGGTTCAAGGAGAAAAGGTGCTTTTTTAACTGGAACATTATCATGCTTGTATCTCATCACTTCAATTGCTTTCTGATTAACGCTGGTCTGTCGCAAATTCAGTTGAAATAAGTAAAAGCATTCTGTGCAGTGCTTGGTACTGCTAGCTTCTTGTTCAAACAAGATGGCCTCATAATTTTGACTGCTGGCTATTTTGAGTTCAACCTCTGCTTCCCAAATGAGTCTACTTGAGTATTCTCATGCTATAATTATCTGTTCTAAGAAGTAAGCTGAATACCTAAACTACTGTCCCTTGTCTAACATGACACCACTTCTTGTAGTCTTCTGGAGCGGTGTTACTTACCTTTAAGTCTTTGTCTGCAAGCCTTTGGAACATGTTGGCGTACATCTTTTTCTCCTTCTCATGCTGCTCCCGTATTTTTTGCTGACAAGTTACCAGTTGCACTTTGGCAGCTTTGTTACTTGGATAAAGTTGTATCACTTTCTGGAAATCTCCTCGGGCCAACTCAAAGTCATTGACAGCCAAATGCGCTTCTCCACGCCGGAAGAGGCCTTTTTCATTGTTGCTATCCAATTCCAGTGCCTGCATCAAAAAAGCAAAACCAAACCAGACACAAGAGTGATTTTTCTTTTATAAAACCTCAGAACACCAGAGACTGCTAGGAACTGTATCTTCTGATACAGACTCACGAGTCTTGTCAGGGCTTACTAGTAATGTAAGTAGAATACAGTAGAAGTTAGTACAAAGAGGAATGAATATAGTAGGCTATTTGACAGAGAACCAGCAAGTCTAAGACTTAGTCCTGGCTCTAATTCAGCTCTTTGAAAGATGTATGCCAACATGACTACGTTCACCAAGTGTTTCTAATTTCTAAACACTTGAATATTCTCCATGTAGCAGTGAGTTAGAAAAAGATGTGGACAGTAATTAAAAAAGTAATTGAAAATCTGTTAGGTATTTTTAGTGTATTCACTACTATCCAAATGCCAGCTGATGAGAAAGGCCCAACACCACATGGCCTGTTGTTTGTCAGATTTCTAAAGCAGAAGATAAACTGCACAAGCAGTCTGACAGTTTAAGAATAAATAAATCGCTACTACCTTGTTGCAGTTTTCCAAAGCCTGTGAGTATTCCTTTAGCTTGAGATGGCACATAGCTAGATTAAGGTGGGCAGCAAGCCTCAAGCTTTTGGCTTTTGATTCCTCCTCATCGGAGAGTCCTGATTCATGCTCCAGCCACGACACAATCTTCTTATACTGTAATGCTGCCCGCTTGTATTTTCCCTCCTGTAAACAAGGCAGTTCAATTATCACACAGCTCATCACAGTAACTTTTATATCCCTCTTGCCCCTTCTGCTTACCTCGAGCAATAGATCTGAAAAAAAAATTTGATCAGAAAATAACTTCTATCATCAAAAACATACCACTTCCGAAACACACTCCTGCAGAGGATCAGAATATCCTTAGGAATACCTACTGGTTCCCCACTAAAACTAGGCATTTATGCCAGCATTGATACTCCACTCAGAACTCCTACCTTATATTCAACTTTTGATACAAAAAAAAAGGGAAAATGGGGCATTTTTATAATGTGTTATGAAGATAATGGGAAACTCTTTCTTTAGCTGGTTAAGTTGCTTGAAAGAGCTTCTTCACAAATACCTACACAAATGAATGTTGTTCATTCACAGCACTATCCCACAGCAGAAACTTAAATACTGTAACCTTGCTACGATTCCATGTATGCCCCAAAGTTATCTGTAGGTACAGTAAACAGCTTTAATAGAGAACTCCCTGCAGAGTCAGTTCTTTGGATAATCCAACTGAGTTTCTTTTTTTCAGACAACTTCCCCTGCAGTTCTCACTGTAAAATCTCACAGAGTACCATGAACACCACTCAGAAATGACAGAAGCTGTAATCATCATTATCAATTCACGACATGGACTAAGAAATGCTATTATTACTTGGGGACTGTAACTTACCTTGAAGTACTGAGTGCCTCTCTCCTTCACAATGGAGCTTTGTTCCAACTTCTCATCCGTGTTCATTTCCCAAGACTCCTTAGCCTACCCAAAAAGGAATAGTTCAAGTCAACTTCAGTACAACAGTACAACTTCTAAGGAAATCAAGTGGCTATGTTGCTTCCCATAGTGAGATAGAGATAGGTTTGGCTTTGCAGAGCTTTGCACTGCTGCTGGAAACCAGCCTAGAGCGCGAGAGACGGCAACGGACAGGGAACCAATAAGAATAAGGGCCATTTCAGCCAAGAGCTCCAGTGTGTCATCGTCTCTGGCAACAGTAGCCTCCTTATTTCAGATCACCATTCAAGGATTCCACTGTCCTTGTTTAAGCTGCACTCGCACTCCTCCCTCCACATCCAGGATCTCTTTGGGGTTTCAACTCTTGTTCCTACCTTTTCAAAGCTTTTGAGTTTCACTTCATACTGCAGCTCTGCATCTGGAGGGATCTGAAATTTCTCATTCCCAGTGCTTCCAAAACCGTAGCTATAAGATGGGTGTGGGGTGGGGAGGGAGAAACAAAGACAACAGTTCAGAACTGTCCATCCAGCTGTATTTTCTACATAGGAAGATGAAGACAAAAACCCCATGCAAATCTGGGATGCCCATACATCATTATTACAAGACAAAGACTTCAAGAATTCTAGGTACGATTCTAAAATTAGCAAGCACAAGGTAGAAGAAAGCAAGAGAAACCTAGCATTGATTTCATTTAGCTCTTACCAGTTCCTATTATGTTTTTTTTTTAGCTTAGGTGAAGGAAAAGCAAGTTATCTCTCCAACAAAGAAAAAAACCCAAACAAAACAACCAACTTTCAAGTTATATGCATTTTGCTTTATATTCGTGGGCTGAAACTGAGCGTTTCCTTCAGAGCACCTGTATTTTAGTACTATTCTTAGAAAAGCAAAGACAATGAATACTAAGATTAAGTGAACAGCTGTACACTTAACATACTGCTAATGAACTGGTAAACAGGAAATGCCTACAGAAAGGTTCTGTGAAGCAACTCCAGTAAGAAGCTGCATATTAGCAGGAAAACCCTCAAGATCACATTGCTTTGCTTTTCTGCTCTCATCAGGTTCAGTTCAAGTTTAAAAAACTTAATAAATACTGAAATTAAAATTAACATTTGATGAAAACAATCTGTGCAAATCCATTTCAGATGTGTTCTCACTGTAATGAGAAAATTCTGCTTATGTCTAGGACTATATATGCACTGTTATACACTAAGCACTAACAAAGAGGGACCGCAAAAATCTAAGTTATAGAGCAACAATATTTTTTTAAATATTCATAGAGATCAACACTATATATAGAGATTTAAGTAAATTTTATTTCTTTTGTAGTGCTACTACTTCATTATGAAGTAGCAAAGCAATCTTAGCTTGATACTTCTCATACACCACTTTTTACCACAGCACTGAAAAAACTGAAAAGTGTTATAACAAAGCACTTAATTCTTGCCAGATTCTTAGTATAGGCCCTTCAAGTATCAAAAGATCAGGGAAAGTGTACCTGGGTTTAAGATAGAACACGGATTCCTCCGATTTCTCCATTTTTTGAATTGCTTTCTCCAGACCATGAGGAAGATCAAAGTTTTCACCTTCCCCAATCTCAAACCGCAATTCCCGCTTGTCAAAAACACGATCTCCGTATCGGCCTTCAAACTGGACTAGTAACAAAAAAATAGAACAACACAGATTGAAATCAGAATATATACATATATACACACATACATATATATACATACATATATGTATATACATATATATATGGTAATGGGAGAGGTAGCACAAGAGTACACTGGGAGTTCTATATAGGCAGGCAGAACATACAAAGTGCCAAAGCCTCCTTCTAAAGTGTTTTTTAACAGCTACCTATGCATGGTGGCAGGAAACAGAACTTCTGCTGTTAAATTTAACAACCCGTTTTTTTTGTTCATCTGTTTGTTTTTTCCATTCCAACAACAGGTCCCAGAACGAACCCCCTCTTGTTCCTCAGCAAATGGAAATTCTTTATTAGACTCATCAATCTTTTGTGATCAGATAAGCACTTTAACAGATTCAGTATCGCTGGAAGAACACAGCTGCTGCTGGAAAATGTAAACCTTGCTAGAAATAAGAGAATGAAATCTTACTCTAGGTTGTTAAGTTACTTGATAAAGGAAAGAAAAGCCATGTATTCCTCTCTCTCAGGGCAAGGAGTTGTAGATTGTGAAACAGGTTTTGCCATCCCGCATGGTAAACCCATTTACAAACTTACTCTCTACGAGTGCATCCTCATTGGGCTTGGAGTAGCCCTCCCCTTTTTTACGGATCCTCCGGATGATGCCACCATCTTCTTCATCAGTGAGGTCCTCCCCCTTGAACTCAAAAAGTTCTATCTGTGGAGGGAAGAAACATCTTGCACTTATTCTCACTACACCAATACAGTAACCCACAGAATTTGTTCTACAGTGATCCTTGAAACTACAGCTATGCAGGAAGTCACTATCTTAGCTAATGTCCTGTAAGATATGGGATAGCCAAGGCTCTGAAGATGATATTGGATGGAAACCAGTAGATCCTAGATGGAAACCTATTGAAGAATTTCAACTTTCAGTTTATATTCAGGCCTTTTCAGCTATTTTTTCTCCACCAATCTTGGTCTCCCAATACTAAAAATTAGATCCTTTAAATTAAAGGACTGTAAACCTGGCTTCTGAATAAAGCTTAAATGAGCCACAATGCTTAGAGTTTACTTTAAAAAAAAAGATTCTATTGGCTTCTTTAATACTATTTTTGCCAATGTCTGCAAGCAAAACTATGGATAGTTGGTTTTGGTTGAGGTTTGATTTTTTTCTAATATGAGGGAAAATACCTTTTGAACACATTAAGGCAGGAAGAATTTACTCTCACTTGCCACTTTGCAGTGCTACCACACTGATCAGCCGTTCCACCTTCTTACTCTACAGTCAAGTAGAACCACCAGTAGTGTCACTGCATCCATGGGCCAAGGTTTTTAAGTAAGGCAAGGACAAAAGGAGCAGGACAATAAAACGAAGATGTAATTCTTATCCTTAATTCATGATTATACCCTTAATTTCATCAATGGTCAAACTGAGATCAACTTTAAAGTGCTTGGAATGGAGCTTTAACTGATTCCAAATGCTTGTTCTGAAACATTAAAACAAATTCAAGAATATATTTTCCAACTTCAGCCATTCCCTACCCATTTCTTCATCCTCCTACTCTTGTGCCACAGGACAGTAGTTTCAAAACTTCTGTGCATTTTCCCTTGCATGCCTGAACAGAGCCAGAGTTATCTTTTTACTTGTTACATTTTCCCTTCTAGTCTTGCTGTACCATTTTGTATTGTGCGATCATTTCAGAAAAAAAAATACTTCCAGAAGAAGGATAAAACAAAAAAACCATGATCTGACCCACCTTTAATCTAAACTCCCCGCTGCAATAAATTGTTTAGAATTTTTAAGAGCTAGTGTTAATGTAGGAAATAGCTATCCAGTCTGAATCTTCACATGCCCTCCCAAGTCTCTAATGTAAATCATAGTTTCATGTGGGAGTACCATGATGAGATGGAAAAATAGTCTAGTTACAAAACATATTTGTTGTTGCTATGAAATGAATTAAAAGGTATTTTGTATTCCATGTTTGAGTAAAACAATAGTAAAAACAGCACAAAAGAGCAAGCCATTATAATCAGAATTGTTTAGACTACCTCATTTAAAAAAAAAAAAAAAGTTCAGGGCTAATGCTGTGAAGGTTCCTCACACCGGACTTAAGATACCTGGAATGTAAAAGAAATTGAATATCCACAAACACAAAGAGTACTTCCACTTTTTATTTGATGGACATCTAGTAATGAATAATATTCTGGTCTTTCTCTTCAGTCTGTCTGAAAAATGTTAAGTCATTCCTGAACATTCTACTGATGGCCATACAGGTATATGTGTCCCTTTTGTTTCTCCCAAAACTGAACACCAGTATTCTATGGAATAATCTACCTATTCATACTGTTCTGCAAAAACAATCATGAGGAAATGAAAAAAAACCCCAAAACTACAAAACACCGCCAGATCAAAAAAAACCAAATCATAGGATGTCCATTATTTCAGGTCATAAAGAAATGCTGATGAGATGACACAGATTCAAAATCTTTTAATTTAAGTTTTAGAGGGTCCTTTTTAAGGCAACTTGTACAAAATTTTGGTATGGTGTTAAGCAATTACAAAGGACCCATGCTGACATTGTTTCAAATAATAAAAAGGAAACATAGAAGCAAAACTAAAAAAGTGGAAACTTAAAAGACTAAGTGCCTGAGAGTCATACTAGTCAGAAATTACTTTTACCTAATAACACTTAGAAAAACTTTCTAGATCTAAGTTCTAAGCCACACCCCCAATCAGGACACTCCCAGCACTATATATTTGTTGCAGCCAGTCAGCTCCAGACTGTTTTATTAGGGAAGCACAAAACCATCATAGGCAGCTTCAGTGCTTTTCTTTCTTTCTCCCTTTATTCCTTTAACATTACTGCTTAGGAAGGCATTAGGGGATATTAAGGATCGTGAATGAAACACTGCTTACCCAGAAAATGATGGAGAGGTCAGACTGGCATCATTAAGAAAAACCCAGTGGGAAGTGAATAACCTGGATGACTACTTCAGATACACTCAGTAATAGTCTCATGGAACAAATCCTGTCTTGCTTTGATTCATACTTTTATTTATCAAAACACTGGGTATTATCTCATTGCAGGGCAGTGAAAGCTTCTCTGCTTTGTACTGTCCATGCACATCCTGTGTACTCGTCCTAAGCCTTTAAGAATGCTCCATTGTGCTGCAAAGGTACAAGGTCTTGAGCTTTTAGCTTGCATTTGAATCATCAGCTCAGTGTTTTTTCTCTCCCCCTTGTATCCTGTCCTGATTACACTTAGTATCATTAGCATACGTGTGAAGCACACAGCACTCCAACCTGTAGTTTGATCCAATAAGTAAGCCATGAGAAACTTAAGATTTATACATAAGAAAATGCTGTTTACCAATAGTTTTACAAGATACTATTTTTCAACAGCCAACTACAGAAATAATGGCATTAATTTTGATGTACTTAAAATGAGTAAGTTGTCATCCCTTTGTGACAGTACCTATACTAGCACTATTTTTTTAATCCTTCTGCACAAAATACGTCTTTAATCCTATTACTCACTAGTCCATGGGAAAAAAAAAAAAAAAAAGAAATGCCAATACACTATCCAAATGCAATACAAATACAATATCCAGCTATGTGAAGGTCAATGCTATCTTGGCTTGTATCAGAAATAGTGTGGCCAGCAGGACCAGGGCAGTGATTGTCCACCTGCACTGGGCATTGCTGAGGCCACACTTCAAATCCTCTGTCCAGTTTTGGGCCCCCCACTGCAAGAAAGACATTGAGGTGCTGGAGCATGTCCAGAGAAGGGCAACGAAGCTGGTGAAGGGTCTAGAGAGTAAGTTCTATAAGGAACAGCTGAGGAACTGCAGGTGGGTTCAGCCTGGAGAAAAGGAGGCTCAAGGGGTACCTTCTAGCACTCTACAACTACCTGAAAGGAGGTTGTAGTGAGGTGGGGTCAGACTCTTCTCCCAAGTAACAAGTCCCAGGACAAGAGGAAATGGCCTCAAGGTGCATCAGGGGAGGTTTGGATTGGATATTTGCATTAGAACAGGCTGCCCAGGGAAGTGGTTGAGACACCTTCCTTGAAGGTATTTAGGTGTAGATGTGGTACTTGGGGACATGGTTTAGTGATGGACTTGGCAGTTTTAGGTTTAAACTGGACTAGATGGTCTTAAAGGTCTTTTCCAGCCTAAATAATTCTATGATTCTATGCATAATTTACCCTTTTTAACAGATACTAATTGTTTCCAATAAAATCTAAATACTCCATGAGCTATTTTTACCTTTCTCAGATATTAGATAAAACATTCAATCTTTGAGAAATCACCGAGTATTAAAACTTTCTGTATGCCCCCAACATAGGAGTCCATTCAATTGATTAAGTATTTTAGAGCAAAGTAATTTTAAAAATCCCACTTAAAAAAAATCTCCCTTCTTTCAAGTAGAATTTATTTTAAAGTAATTGTTGGAAAATTGAACTGTTTCAACAGTAGGAAAAATATATCCTCTCTGTTGAGACTGTCAGAGCATGCTTCAGAAACAGCTTTAGTATCATTCTCCATGGAAAAAATCAAACACAAGTCTCAGCATTCTGAGCAACCATTCTTGCTGTTGAAATAACACACAAGAGACAGCTGCTATTTCCACACTCTTTTGGGAAGAGGTTTGGGGGAGTGACTTAAAGATCAGCAGGAGACAAATTCTCTCCTCTCCTGGTGAGGTTAAGAGAAATAACTGGCTCCATTTAATTTTCTCAACTACTTCAGAGTCCATCCACCCTCCCAGCCTTCTCTTTCCTACTGCAAATCATTCCATAACTAATATTAAAACTGAACACTGGAAACCATTCAAGTATTTTAAAAACGCCAAAAAAAAAGGAACCGAAGCTCTTGCAGATCAGTAGCAGCCAGACTAAAACTTTGCCCACACTACCCAAAATCGACCATATTGTTTTCTTTAGAAAACCTAACAATCCTTTCAAAACCCAGTTTTGAAAGCATATTGCATCACACATTTTCTACTGTAAAATATGACTTTTGCTTGTTTTTCAAGTGTACGGTTTTAATGACCGTCTCTCACTTACCTCAAAAATCAGTGTAGCATTGGGAGGTATCTTTGGGGGGCTCCCAGCTGAGCCATAGGCATATTCTGGTTTACACGTAATCCGACAGATTTCACCAATCTTCATAGTCGCCACAGCAATGTCCCATGCTTTGATCACCTCACCTATACAAGTCAAATGTCAATCACATGATTGCAAGGCACACACGAAAAGCACGATCAGCTGAAACTCAGGATCATCACTTTTAGCGTACAGAAGCTAAGACAGCAGAAACACTGAAGGACTTGTGCTCACTCTCATCTACCTACATCAGTTTTAAGCCTAATCAAATTCTAAAGTTTCCTGGGACCCAAATTTCGCTACGTTTCTTCATTCCAGGTGTAGCAACTCTTTTCATAGAATCATAAAACGGGTTGGATTGGAAGGGACCTGAAAGGTCATCTAGTTCCAACCCCTCTGCCAGGGGCAGGGACCCTGCGCTTCCTTCCTTAGAGAGAATACAAGTCATCTGAACACAGACACAGGCTGAAGTGCTTGGCACAGTCTCAAGTGTGAGGAAGTAACAATAAACTCTTCCGAGAGGAAAGTCTCAGGGCGAGAGATTGCCTGCTCGTGTTTTGAAAACAATCCAAACCAACAGCCTTTTCTCTCTGTACTTTATCAGTTGGCAAAGAGCAGCGCTAGTGGTAACTAAAAGTTACAAACATTTGTAACAAAAAGGGGGAGGAAAATAGAAATAGTATTCCTTCCGAAGCCAAAAAGGAACAGAAGTTGTAACAAAATCCTCTTTTTCAAGCTCTCCTACTTGCTGCTCCTTTCAACTCGATCAAGCAGGCTGTTAATCCTGTATTAATAGGTACGCTTAATATCTCAAATTTTAGTACAATGAATTAATCTCTTTTTAAAGAAAAGAGATCGTATCCATTTATTTAAAAGCAGCAGGGAAAATGTAATATTGAGGAATAAGATTTGCTGGAACAAGGATGCTTGGATTTTTGCATTCAAAAAATAAAGGATTTTGATAATGAAGAGTTGCACTGCTCAAAGACTCATATTTGGGTTAATTTGGGAATTTTGTGGAAAAGGGAGTATATTTCATCATGCAGCAGCTGACAGCTGCTTCTGTGCACCCTGTCCCAGTATCTGGTCACAATTAAATACCCTTGGACTGGAGTCTGCCAAACCAAAAAAATCAACAAAAAAACAACCAACAAAATGCATATTCTGGCATATTTAACTACCCTTTGTCACTACACTTCAGGGCAGATTTGCTCCCCTGGGGTGCTTTGTCTGAGGCCTGTGAATCCTTCCTCAGGCCTCAAGGGGCTACACAGTTTTCTCATTCAGAAAAATCTCAAAGACATTCTGACTGGGCCATTCTGAGAGAACAAAATCTGAAAACAAGTTTAAGTAGTAACTTCAAAAGGCAAAGGAGGCTCACATGCCATGAAATCCTACCTCAATTATTAGCAAAAGTGATCAATACCAAACACAAGGTATTACCTTTCCCTAAGTCAAACGAAAACTTGTCTCTCCTGTCCAGACTGGAGTCAAATTTTGTGCCATCAAGAAGCCATCCTGTGTAATGGACAGTCACTTTATCACCTATCATTGGAGACTCTGTCCCACTGCCTTCTCTCTTAACAACCTGAGAAAAACATTAAGAAAACAACATTAAGATCATGGAAACTAAGTCTGCCTATCAGACATTAAGTCCATTTACTTAGATGCATGCATTACCGTCTTCAGTAGATAAAGGATTTGGAGGTTTACTTCAGTTATCTGGAGATGGATTGATCATTCTGTCTGCAGATTAGCAGTGCTGCAAATGCAGAACCTCAAGATGGCTGTGCTGTGATACGAGAACTTAATTGGCAACAGTTGGCACCAGCTTACAGATCTCTGCATCTATAGTTAGCCATGTCACTTACCTTTGCTCAATTAGATTTTAAATGTTCTTGAAACTCAAACTGGTAAAGTATTAGGCAGGGGGTTTTTGCTTGATTCAAGTATTTGCCTCACCACCTTTCTATCATAACAGCCCACTTCAGTGTTCTAGGCAAAGCATTTACACAAGAAAACAAGGTGGTTGTTTCCATACAAAATCTATACTAACATGTAATCTCAGATTCCTTGAGTTAAACCAGGCAGTTTAACAAAGGTTAACAGAATCTCACCACATAGCAGGTTAGTTTTATCATCTTACAGAGTAGTACTTAAAAATTATTATATTGCATTAATTTTATCTCCCTGCAAATCTGACAAGGATTGCCAGCACGTCTCACATACAGCTGCAAGGATCTGATCTTCTTCTCAAGAGGTTCCCCAGCACACCTAGCAGGACCAGTATCAACTACATCTACACTATCCAAAAAGCAAGATTGGCCAACCTCTCTGATGTTCATTTGAAATTCACACAAAAATAGAGAATAATAATGACATATATCATAGGCAAGGAAGCAAAGCCTTGCCCATAACAGGATTCCTGAAGTTCAGATTTGAATTTTCTCCAATACCAATTGAAACCATCTAGCTCCGAGCCAAAGTTGCGCATTCCTTCAGCTAGGCAAAAATGGAGGACCCTATTTGCTTGGATCGTGGAGACCTGGAAAACATACTGTTCATACAAGATAAACATTTATTCAAGGCCACTTACTCAAAAGTATGGATTGGCATCCCTTCTTTAAAGAAAAGCTATACAAGTGTCATATTTCTATATCCATCACATTTTTCATTGAAGGAAGCAGACCCGTGGGAGTCTCCTTCACAAATTTTAACTTCTTACAATCCACCACTGTCAAACTCCTACTTTGCCTCCCACCATCCCTGCAACTATACAACTGAAATGCCAGTACTCTCCATCCAAAGCCAAGGCAATGTTGGCAGTTTCTGTCAGACTCTTAACAAGCTGAAAGCACCTCACTGGATCTATAAAACAAAGAAAAAATCCACAAATGAAGAAAATCCAGAAAAAAAAATACTGCCTGCTGTTTCCTAAGATGAGAATGCTCAATGTGAAAAAGGATGCCTGACCTCACACAGCACACCGTCCCTTTACTCTGCACTGCATCGTGCTACAGCAGCTATTAGCATGACAAAACTAATCTATTGGTATCTCTTCCAAGGAAGTCGACCCTTCAAGAAACCACTCACAGAGATAAGCAAACAGAGACCTATGAAAAGAACCCTATCAATCTGGTAATCAACCTAACCTACTTAATGCTTATATATATATATATATATATATATATATATATAAAGTGGATCCAAACTACTTATTTTAAGGCAGCCAGTCTGAAAGGCTTTTGAAAAAGTAACTACATTTAACGCAAATTTACTAAGCTTTTTCCAATACCATGTTCTTGTAGTGTCATACCAAGGTATCCCATAGTAGTGAATATCTCGTTTTTATTATTTATACAGTATTATTCTTTTACAATTATTGCATTTTGAGGAGATTTAAGTTTCACTTTTTTTATAGACTCAATATGGTAACCCTATTTTGTGTAAGGTTTACATTTCCCTTTCATATGGAGAAACAGGATTTTCCAGTTCATATTGTGGATTTCAAATAGTTTATTTCTAAACTTAAATGCTTACACTAGAAATAGTGCAAGCACATTCAGCAGTATCAGGTAAAAACCTGTGGACAGTATTCTGATACAAAGCTAATGAACAAATAAGCACACTCCTGGAATCAGTGCAATGATACCAGTACAAAATTGGTGTAGGTTTGTTCAGAGCTAGACCCCTAGTTTCAATGGGTGCATTCGGCACTCCAAAAATTACTAGCAAAATAAAATCCATGAAGGCTGGAGTTCATGACCTCTACAGTATTTTGCTTATCAATTCACCATCTCACCTTCTTTGTGGTTTTCACCACCTCAGTTATTTTGCTAGTATTTTTTACTCCCCTCCTTAAAAAAATTTGAAGTAAAAAAAAAAAAAAAAACCTTCACCACTAAATACGCCCCCCAAACACCTGCTGCTTCATCATCTAAAGTAGGTACTGCATGGATTAGGCAGACGATCACTGCCTTCCACCGTGCTCAAGGGACCTGAGCAGTGGGAGACCCACAGGCACCTTCTGGGCAACCGTGCAGACGAGAACTCTGACCTGATTATTGTGCTATGTGCAAAAAACAGAAATTCTCACCAAAGCATGCTAGCAGGAAAGATGGGAAAGAGTATAGAAGACAAAATGTACAGTTTGGTCTCAGCTACCCCTCCTGAATGAGGGACGGTACCTCTGTGAGGAACCTAAAATTTAAAGCCAGAGGGCTCTAAAGGTTAAGACCAGAATTTTGCCTTTCCTGTGGCGCCACTTTTTTCTTCTGAATACTGATATTTTACTGCGATCGAATAACGCTACTAAGGATCGTTACAGGTTTTAGCAGAGACTGAGGAAGTTTCTAGAGATATGGAAATAGGCGACGTCTGTCAGAGGAAGTTCGTGCAACTCCCCCTCACGGTATAAATTCTGCTGCCCTTATCGCCTGGCTTCCCAGTTTACAAAGGGGAGCAGCCGCTCCGCCGGAATGCGCGGCACCGCCGGAGACCTGCCCGGCCGCCCGCCAAGCGGCACCGCGGGGCAGCGGCACCGAGGGGCGGCCGCCCCGCTCCGCTGCTGCCGCCGTGCCCGCCCGCACCGCGCACCCCCGGGCCTGGGGGGCCGCCGTGCCCCGACAGAGAGCGCCGTGCCCGGAGCTCAAAGAGCGGAGGGCGGCACGGCACGGCCGGACACCGGCGGCGACCTGCACTGAGTCCACGTGCCCGGCCCGGGCTCCATCTTTAATTCCCAGCCCCAAACACGTGCTGGCGGGGGGCGGACTCGGACCCCCAAAACCTGCTGTGCGGGCACAGCCGCGCCATGCGAGCCGGGCGGTGAGCCCGGCCTGGCCCTCCCATCCCGCAGACCCGGGGAATAGCCCGAATAGAGCAGGAAAGCGCCTCTCCCCTGCACAGTGGTGCCCGTCCCCCCCCTTCTACCCCGGACTTTCCCGGCGGGCAGCCGGGGCTCCGGCTCGCCCGGGCCGGGGAGGTTGGAGCCGGGAGGAGAGGGGAGCCGCCGGGAGCCGCCGCGTGGGAGCCCCCGCGGGCGGACGGGCAGCGCTTGCGCAGCCGGGGCGCGCTCCCGCCCTCCCCGCTCGCCGCCGCCGATGTTTAATCGCCCGCGCTGCGCCAACCCGGCCGGGCTGCCCGGGGACCGCCTTGTCCCCTTCTCCGCGGGCGACATAACGGGCCTGGCGCGGCCGGGGAGCACCCGCTCGCAGGCCAAGAGAAACGCCTCCTCTCCCCGCCGGCGCAGGGACCACCGCGAGCCAGCGCGGGGGGTGAAGATGGGGAACAGCCGCCTGGTACCTTGAGGACGCCCTCATCCTGCTTGGGGGTGATGTCTGTCCCTTCCAGGGGAGCCCCGTCCGCTTTCATCTCCTCCGCCGTCATCCCGCCCGCCGCTGCCACCGCTGCGCAGGAAGGGCCGCCTCGCGGGGTCGGTGCTGGACTGGGCGCCGGGAATGGGGCTGGGGGAGCGCCTCGCTGCACCTCCGGCTCTGGGCACCGCGGGCGGGGGCGGGCGCCACACGCCTCCTTCCCTGCTGCTCTCGCCGCAGCGCCGGCCCCCGGTCGGCGGGGAGGAGGAGGAGGAGGAGGAGGAAGGGGAGGGGAGAGGGAGGGACCGAGAAGTTTCTAGAGCAGCCGCCGGGCTGCCGCAAAGCGCCTGGCTGAGCCAGGGGCCGGGGTGAAGGTGTGCGTCGCCCCCGGGGGCGGAGAGGCCACCGCCGGCGGGGCGGGGGTAAGGCAGCCGCCTGGCCGCGTTACACGTCTAGGGCGGCTGGGGCTACGGAGAAGAAGAGGAGGAGGAGGAAGAGGAATAGATTATTCATGACAGGAGGAAGGGCGCGCTTTTGCAGCGCTGGGCTTGCGGAGCAGGAGCGCCCACGGCTCGCAGGTGTTGCAGGAGTGCCTGGCCCGGCAGCGAGGAGGAGCTGCTGCGCCCTGCCCTGCCTTGGACAGGTTTTGCTGGAAGCTGCGCTAGAGTGAAAGTAACCCTCCTGCCCTCTTGGTAGTAGCAGCCCCCCTCGTCCCCCTTCGGTATGAGCAGCCCTGTGCAGGTGCGTGGGCTTGTATTCTTTTCGCCCGCCACGCGGTCGTGGACGGTCACAGGAAAGGTTGTACAAGCGGGCACGGAAGCACCGTGCCGGCAACGAGCTCAGACATCCCTTGGCTTGCAGGGCTGGGGATCACGTTAGGACTCGTGTACCTGAAAACGATTTGTTTCCCAGGACCAGGGAAGGTGAAGACGTGCTTAAAGCACAGAGTGTAGCCTCTGTGTTTCGCCCATCTGTATCCGTCTGGATAAAGTCACCACCGTTTTGTTCCTCAGCCTGCCGGTGGAATATTTGGGGATGCATAAATAAAAACGGTGGTACGGTGCTTTTGGCCAAATCATTTGCAACATCCAATGATCTAAAATCAGACTAGAAGCTTGTCCATGATATTGGGCATAAATAACTAAAGCAAGAGCGTTAAATGGATTCAACCTTCCACTGCAAGCTATTAATACCGGTCGCCCCGTGCAGCTTTCCCCGCCCCCCGCATAGGGTGGCACCTTTCCCGGCTCTTCTTGAACTTTCCACTCTCTCCCTCCGCTTTCCCCCTGGGTGCTGGGCTCTGGACGGGTGCGGTGGCACCGCAGCCCCGCCTGCCAACCTGCTGCAGACGCTCCTCCGCGCCGCCGGCTCCAAAAAAGCGCCGGGGCTGCGGAACCGCGTCCGTACCGCACATACTCACTGAGCGGCGGAGGGATGGACAGCCGCCTGCTTCTTGTGCGCGTTCTGCCTTTGCATCTTCAGCGTGATGTTTGAGCCTTCATTAACAAAACCGGGTACTGAGGGTGAAAGGAAGGGGGTTCGCTGGCAGGTGTGCAGTGTTTTGGAGTTACTTTTCCCTCGCAGCACTGGCCCATACAGTGCAGAACTCTAAGTTCAGAAGGGATCCCTGGAAGGGCTGCAGAAAGTTTGGCAGTGTGTGAGCTTGCTCTGTGAGTCCTGATGCTGCACGCAACCTGGAGTTGTTCTGTACCAGTATAAAGCTGTATCTGTGCATGGTGCACAAAAACTCCAGCACCCTTAGGTGGGTTCTGCTGATGCTGAAGGAAAGTAGTAGCAATAGAACCTAAATAAAGAACCTGTAGTTACTTCAGCAAGTGGGTATAAACTGCAAAATCTACAAGTTTCCCCTGAGGAGGAGCCTGCTTTTCAACCCCCAAGCAAACATACACTTTAGTGCACTTTCAAACTGAGTAAGCAGGGGGAAGGTGGAGAAGGAGAGAATTGTGGTTTCTGTGTGCATTTGGTCTAGAAGCTTCTAGCTGCTTTCAGTTTGCAATTTAACATGGATGAGTTATTTGATTGCAGATTAGATCTGTAGGAGGTTCTGTACATGGACTCTAGACCCCGATACACTGAGGAACACAGAGAGAAGCATCTAAGCTGGTTCTGGTCCAGCAGGTCTAGCAGGTCTTGTTAGGGGAGGCACAGCAAAAATATAGGAGATACTTCTTCATCTAATGAGTCTGTATGGCACTGAATTTACATTCTCCAGTCAGTACTAACACACAAGTTCTCTACAATCCCAATTCATCAGGTCCAACCTCTCTCTTTTCATCTAAATTTTCTAATAATAGATCAACTATAGTTGGTTTAATATAAATTTTTGCAGATCACCTGCCTCATGTTTGGCAATGAAGTTTCTGTTTGGGACTGATACTTTTTCAGCCACATATTGTATATGTCATAATCCAGCTTTTGATAATTGCAGTATGTAGAAATGATGCCAAATTATCTACAACTGCCAAACATGCTAGAATCAAGTTTAGGAAAGTGATAAATAGTAGAAAGGAAAGGATACCTCTTAGTGGAGATCGCTTGCAGATGTTATATGTCTCATATTTTCAGCCATCTCCCTGTTTTTGGCACAGCAGTGCAAGCTCTTACATAAGTAATTTAAAGCAGGTACTGCAAGCTATGTCCCTTAGTAACTTTCTAAGACTACACAGATACTGTTTAAGGCCTTCCTTAAGGGCTGTATGGGCAGAGTTTTATGGATCAGGGGACAGAGATAGTAGCAAAAAGACAGTGAGTATTTTAGATTATGTCAATGTCATAATGCTTTTGTTAGGGTATGGATGGAGGGAAGGCAGCTTAGAAGAGGAGACTCCTTTAAGGCATTATAAAGGAGCTTTGTGTCAGGCCTGTTCTCAGAAGATACATTGTAGAGACAATTTTGAAACTAAAGGCAGTCACTAAGCAAGATGGGAGAATACAAAGAAAAGATTTCAGAGCTTGATGGGTATGCTTAGGTGAAGTGAAAATGAAAAATCTGGCAATAGCTTTCAGGCAGAGTGGAAGACAAGTGAGATGATTGCCTCAAACAGCAAAGACTAGCCCAGGCAGTAAAATGTCCTGAAAAATATCTAATTGCAGCAAGAGTCTGGAACAGCCTCCCAGGACACACAGCCAATCTAAACCTGGTCAGCAACATGCTAGAATTATGAATAGGCTTATTCAAAGACTAGCTAGAGATAACAAGGTTTGGACATAAAACATAAAAGATGGCATGGGGCAACACAGCTCAGCTGGAACTTTGTTGGCAGGTCCTACATAGGCAAGGGCAAGACTCAAGGTGACCTATAGCCCATCAGGAAGGGAGGATCTTTGGGTTGCTATCAAATGGTTGACTTCCCGGGTATGTCATGGCACGAGTCACTGCACTGTGTAGGTTGACTGAAGCCCCACCAGGACAGGCTGTGGCCTCAAGTTCACTTGCCCAACTGTGTTGATCATGCTGGCACTGCAGACTCGCTGGAACTAGGAAAAGGACTGAGGAATGCGTATCTGCACAAGCTCAAAGATGGCATTATGAGATAACAGCAAACAGAATAACCAAAAAAGGAATGACCCTGGCTATTAATTTGTGATTGGAACAGGAACTGAACCCAAGCTCATCGTGCGCACTGGTTTCACGCTTGATTGGCTTGGAAGGGCTGAGCACAGGGTGTAAGAAAGGAATAAAGACAGAAGCCACACACTATATCGACTTGGACTCACCACCAGCTTGCAGATGGACTGACAGCCCAGCCATCAACAGGGACACTCCTGATGCCAGCTGCAAGGGAAGACAAAATTCAACCCTGTGTGGCTTGAGTGTGGTGAAGACATTCCTGGGGAAACTAGTACCAAAAGGAGACCTCACAGGACATGAACGAGGGCAATAATTTGTGCACCCATATTATTTGAAATAAGGCTTTAAAACTTTGGTTGATTGTAAATATCTATCTAGCTGCAATAAGGAAGAGCTAAGTAAAATTGTCAGGTTTTTTAGGTTAGTTTTTTTAAGCATATGTTTCTTCTGAGGTATTGTTTGGTTAGTCTCAGAATCCAAAAGAAACCCAAGATGTTGATGTGTCACACTTATACTGAGTTGGAAAAGAATATGATTTAAGACATCAGGAATAGCTTGTAGTTACTTCTGCTTGTTGCATTATAAAATATAACAGTGATAAGGAGGAAATATTGCACTTTTTTGTTGCAAGGAGTAATTCTATCCTTGAAGTCCACAGTAGGGCACAAACCTTCATCAGTCTAACCCTATCCCGTTATTTTGTGTGACATGCCTGTGACAGGCTATTAAGAATGTCACCTGCTGTGTACCACCTGAATTATACCCTGCCTGTTTTTCATTCTCAGCTTCGCTGAGCTGTCCCAGTATCCCTGCTTTCCCTTGCTCCCCGGGAGTGTAAAGCAAATCAATTCCTGTCCTTTTAGTTTAGAAGGGATAAAGTTGTTGGTTTTCCTTATCCTTTACCGCATCATTACAGACTGTAGTAGATTGTCATGACCCACATGCAAGGAGCATCAGACCTCTTTTCTGTTCCTTTTCAAATGAAAACATAGCGATACACTCATTCCCTGCTTTAAAACCAAGCAACATTTAAAGGGGCATGACCTGAGTTGTAGTATAGCAGGCATGCATGAGACTCAACCCTCCAGCACTGGATTGGAAAAGGACTCTGTATTTGCAGTTCCCTGGGATTTCTGAGCTGCTCTGCTCCTTGTTCACCAACAGATGTCCACATTTTTCTAAAACTATGGGCCGTAGGACTTGCAGATAGGCAAGGTTTAATTTTTAAAAAATTGTTTCCTGGTATGGTTATGATTTCTTCTCCTTTGCTTCTGTACATTCCCTTCTATTTTTTAGTAATTTCATTTATGTGATATATACACTGTCCTTTATTGATTACAGATGTAGATTTTCAAAAAGACTAAACAACATTTTTTTTTGTATAGACATCTCTTCTGATTCAGCACATTCCTGTCTTTACTGTTCATAACTCATCAGCCTAATTTCAATTCATAGAAAGTTAATAAAATTATTTTAATTAAGATGTTATTTACCTTTCCAGATGCAAAATTATTTTAAAATACCTAGTCAAGTTTCATCAGCTGCTTTCATTTTGTTCGTTCCTTGCCTTAAAAGCAATCAAGATTACTAGACAAATGTATGTATAGACATTCTGATTTTATATTTCTTTGCATCCTGTTAGCCAGT